AGAAGAAGAAGAAGAAGAACAAGAACAAGAACAACAACAACAACAACAACAACAACAAGGAGTTGAAATTAAGTTAAAGATGAGATAGAAGAAGAAAAAGCTAAAGATGAAGATCCAAGACGATAGACAAAAAACGATAGCAATAAAGATGATTAAAAAGAAAACTATGAAGAAGAAGATCCAAGAGTAAAAAAAAAGGACAAGAACAAAAACAAGAAATAGGAGAACGATGGGAAGAAGAAAAATCCCTCACTGAAATAAAACTGAAATTAAATGCAGTATTTTTAACAACATCTTGGTTGCAGCGTATGCAGCTGTGTTGACGAACAGTTCAGCCACGTTTAAAGACAAAATGTCCTCTTGGTCCTGCCACATCAGGTGGGTTATTATCGACTCTGAGTCATCCAGCGAGTCTGCAGACCAGACTGCAGTGACCCTCCTAAAACCCACTTTCCTCCTGCCTTTTCATTTCACAAAGTTTCTTCCTACTCCTCTAGGAGACCAGAAGGTCAGAGATGATCACCAAAGCAAGACCAGTCATCACTCCACACAACTACAGCACACACTAATTGCCACTATTCAGCCCCCACAATGCTCCATCTCTCTGTTTTCAGCCTCCAGGGAGATGTGAGCAGTGAGGGGAAGTGATGGGAGGAGGAAGGATTCCAGAAAACAGTGTTTCTTCTCCAAGGTTGATTTATTAATAAATACAGGAGAGACGCACACGCCAGGAGTAAGAGCTAAAGACCATATGCCCGATATTTCTGCACATCTGGCAGCGGTAGATTAGCAATAGCGATGCGTTCTCTCTCTATATGTTGCTCTTGTTCGCCCTCCCTCTCCCTGTTCTTCACTCTGTCCTTTGTCCTTATCTGTCAGCATATTTGGTCAGAGTGAGCGAACACTGTTTTTTTTCTGTTTCCATTTCTCTTCTCTGCAGGCGGAAGGTCAATACCCCGCTTCCCTTTACCAGTGCCCACGTCTTATTGATGTAGTGCAACACTTGAGGCGTGAGATTTCATCTCTCGCTCACAAACACATGCACAGAAATGGAAACGTATATTTATTGTAGAAATAGAAAGCAGAATTACCCTCATGGGGCATCATATATGAGATCAATCTATAGCCTGAAGGTTTAGTTATCTAACACATGTTAACGTTCTTAATGATTTGTTCTAAATATTTTAACAAAACTCTTAAAAATAAAGGTGCCAAGAGGGTTCAGTGAAGTGATGCCATGGGAGAGTCTTTTCATAGATGGATCTTTAAAGTACCATGAGTTCTATGTAGAATCAGTTGCATGTTTAAATGGTTCTTTGCATGGTGAAACCTTTTTGAAAATAGTTCTATCTAGTACCAACATTTGCTCTGCTAAAACACTACAATATCTGTCAAGACAATTAGCTGTAATAGTAACATGCAGTCTTAGCAAAATAATTGTATATAGTAGGCAAATGTTCTTTGAGTTGTGATGATTTCATGTATAACCATCACTTCTACTAAAGAACTCTTTAAGAATCCCTTTTTTAAGGCTGGATCTCATTTGCCCTCATATCCACCTTATATTTTATTGAACACATTTGATATGCATCACTTTTGGTTCTTGGACTTTAGTGGAAGCTTTTTAAAGAGACATTTTATCAGTGAGGTGTGTGACTACAGAGAACATTTTTTTAAGTATAAAGAAAGTCCACATGACTTGAAGTTTAAATAGATAGTGGATCTAGAAAATTGTACCTGAATGGTAAAGGCATGGCAGGGAGTTTCAGCAGGGTGGCACTGTGAATGTGTGGTGGAAGGGAGGGTGTATGGCAGTGTAGTGAGGTTGGACAGTTGCTCTGCAGATTGCTAATAGTAAAGGACTCTCCCCTTAAAGGCAAAGTGGGTCAGACGGCAGGTCCATACAATGTGAATGTAAGAGCAGGGTAGGGGCGGAGTTGGAGAGAGGTAGGTTGGACAGTTGTTCAACCAATTGCTGATAGAAAAACAACTGCCACCTCTCAAAAGGCGCAAACACCCACCACATGGTGGAAGCCAGTGTTGTAGTTGACATTTTGGGTGGCATCTGGGGTATCTAAATCAGAGTCACAGACGGCACTGGCCACTTTGGCCACCCCTTTAAAATGACACAAGGTTTAACAAACCTTCACATAATGTAATTTTGGGTTTTGCAGTGTGTAGGGTTAGGGTCATCTCATTAACAAAATTTGTTTCCTAAGAAACCATTCACAGAAAGTTTGTTTTGGGAACCAAAAGTGGTTCAGCGCACAAAAAGCCCTATATCGCAACTTTTTTTGTAGAGTGCAGCACGAAACAATAACTGGTTAAGAACTTTTACATTATGCTGAGGTTCTTCAAATTTCACAAAGATTCTTTACAGCCACATATCTCATTCGCAAAAATGGTTCTTTGAAGAACCATACATTGAAAAGTTCCAAAGGTGGTTTCTACATGAAAATTTAATATATGGCAATATATGGATTTCAAATATATGACATATTAGCATATATGGATTTCCCTCATATCCACCTTATATTCATAACATAGACCAATATGTGACATAAATGCCAATTATTTGAAAAAAAAATTGGTCATTAAAATATTCTCTTGTTAGAAGAGAACCTCCATTTTAGACAATTTTCAGTTTTTGACATAATTTGGAAATTCCTGTTACCCTTTACATCATATGCAAATTTCATGATGAATGGACTAAAAGAAACACAAAATTACTTGGAAAAAAGTCTGGCTCCATTGACTTACATTAAAAATAAAGTAGGTTTTGTCCTCCTGTAAAGTTACAATTTTGGGGATTTTGGACAAGGTTTTCATCCGACAACAGTGATTATACAGTGGGGCAAAAAAGTATTTAGTCAGCCACTGATTGTGCAAGTTCTCCTACTTAGAAAGATGAGAGAGGTCTGTAATTTTCATCATAGGTACACTTCAACTATGAGAGACAGAATGAGAAAAAAATCCAGGAAATCACTTTGTAGGATTTTTAAAGAATTTATTTGTAAATTATGGTGGAAAATGAGTATTTGGTCAATAACAAAAGTTCAACTCAATACTTTGTAACATAACCTTTGTTGGCAATGACAGAGGTCAAACGTTTCCTGTAAGTCTTCACCAGGTTTGCACACACTGTAGCTGGTATTTTGGCCCATTCCTCCATGCAGATCTCCTCTAGAGCAGTGATGTTTTGGGGCTGTCGCTGGGCAACATGGACTTTCAACTCCCTCCACAAATTTTCTATGGGGTTGAGGTCCGGAGACTGGCTAGGCCACTCCAGGACCTTGAAATGCTTTTTACGGAGCCACTCCTTCGTTGCCCGAGCAGTGTGTTTGGGATCATTGTCATGCTGGAAGACCCAACCACGTTCCATCTTCAATGCTCTCACTGATGGAAAGAGGTTTTGGCTTAAAATCTCACGATACATGGCCCCGTTCATTCTTCCCTTAACACGGATCAGTCGTCCTGTCCCCTTTGCAGAAAAACAGCCCCAAAGCATGATGTTTCCACCCCCATGCTTCACAGTAGGTATGGTGTTCTTGGGATGCAACTCAGCATTCTTCTTCCTCCAAACACAACAACTTGAGTTTTTACCAAAAAGTTCTATTTTGGTTTCATCTGACCACATGATATTCTCCCAATCCTCTTCTGGATCATCCATATGCTCTCTGGCAAACTTCAGATGGGCCTGGACATGTACTGGCTTAAGCAGGGGGACACGCCTGGCACTGCAGGATTTGAGTCCCTCTCGGCGTAGTGTGTTACTGATGGTAGCCTTTGTTACTTTGGTCCCAGCTCTCTGCAGGTCATTCATCAGGTCCCTCCGCGTAGTTCTGGGATTTTTGTTCACCGTTCTCATGATCATTTTGACCCCACGGGATGAGATCTTGCGTGGGGCCCCAGATCGAGGGAGATTATCAATGGTCTTGTATGTCTTCCATTTTCTTACCATTGCTCCCACAGTTGATTTATTCACACCAACCTGCTTGCTTATTGTAGATTCACTCTTCCCAGTCTGGTGCAGGTCTACAATTTTCTTCCTGGTGTCCTTCGACAGCTCTTTGGTTGAGTTTGGAGTCTGACTGTTTGAGGCTGTGGACAGGTGTCTTTTATACAGATAACGAGGTCAAACAGGTGCCATTAATACAGGTAACGAGTGGAGGACAGAAGAGCTTCTTAAAGAACAAGTTACAGGTCTGTGAGAACCAGAAATCTTGCTTGTTTGTGGGTGACCAAATACTTATTTTCCACCATAATTTACAAATAAATTCTTTAAAAATCCTACAAAGTGATTTCCTAGATTTTTTTTCTCATTTTGTCTCTCATAGTTGAAGTGTACCTATGATGAAAATTACAGACCTCTCTCATCTTTCTAAGTAGGAGAACTTGCACAATCAGTGGTTGACTAAATACTTTTTTGCCCCACTGTATGTATGGTCCACATATTATGCATATATGTCCAATATTTATAGATATACATAACATATGTACATATGTTTTGAAATATGACCCTTATGGCCATATATCTGATTTCCATTTGGGTTCTCTTACACTGTAAAAAATGGCTCATCAGATCAACCTAAAAAAATTGACTTCATGTGGTAACAAGCAGTTGAACTAGTTCTATTTAACTCAAAAAATGACACTGACTGAAAGAATCATTCATTCAAAGTATTTATTTAAGTTGAACAAATCTAGTTAATTTACTTGTTACCACACGAAGTAAGGTTGATCTGATGAACTATTTCTAAAGTGTATGACATCACTCCAAAGACCCGTTCTGGTACCTTACTTTTGAGAGTGAGCAGTACCTTCACAGTGAAGTGAAGAACATTGCTACCAGTTTCCTAAGTGTCATCAATAATGTGAGCAATTTCTAGCAAAGCTCAACATTTTGAGCTGCAAGCTCAGGACAAGTGGGAGTGTATGAGAGGGAGGGAGAGAGAGAGAAAGAGAGAAAGAAATAAAAGAAAAGGAGAGGCGGTACATACCCTTAATCCGCAAACTCTCTGGGATCCCATCCTGCTGGAACAAGAACAGAGAGAGAGAGAGAAAACTCATAAAACATCACGTAGAGCGGTGCTTTCCAGACAGCTTGTCGATGGATCTCTAACAAGTAGCAGTCACACACTCCACACCTCGCCGTGTCACACATTTTACACACCCCAGGGACATAAGCCTGTTGAGACACGTCCCTGCAATGTCACATCAAAAAATGCCCAGGGCAATGATCGTTTCACGATGATTCAAACCGACTACACATCAATTCCTGCTTTTCTCTCATTGCCAGTGCCATCAAATTCATAGCGCGTACTGTATGATTAAACTTGACCTATAAATATTTACCCGGGGTATTTAAAGCCTAGTGAGCTGTCTCATAAGAAAACGTTTTCATATGAGCATTCCCAGCAGGAACAGTCTCAGCCAGGGAGATTTGCGGTCTGATAAAATCTTTATTTTGGGGAAATTCTGAAGAAGCATTGACGTATCTTTCTTTGAAGAAGCTGTAAGTCTGTTAACTCCCAGATCTTAGCTGTCAGATCAAGACCCTTTATTTTTTTTTATGCTATTTAAAAATGCCAGTCACCTTTTGCATTGTGTTCACCCTCTGGGGATCTGAGGGCATTTTCTCGATTTATGCATATCTTCTTAGATTCACCTTTTAAAGGCACTTGGATATAACATGATATTCATAAGTTTCATATCAAAATGCTCCATTATCTTTATCACTATTTTCCAAAACTGCTGCAGTAAACTCTGTAAACTCTCTACTGTAAACTCTCTGCACACCATCTCACGTGTCTCCGATGTCTCTGAGTGAAGAATAAAGGGTTGCGACGTGATGGGTAGGTTCTTAGTGATTTTCTGAGTGTGCATTGGTCAGTCACACAAAAATGTTATTGGACACACAAATCCATCAATTACACACAGTGAGAGGCAGGTGAAATGTTTCAACCCCTCTTTGTAGCCTCATAACTCCAGATGTGACTCATATGATAAGATGGAATTGAAAGGGCAACTTTGAACTATATTTCTGTGCTGTATTATTGAAAATATAGAGAAATTTATAGAAACATCTAATTTGATTTACGGGCACTAGAGCATTCAAATAGCATGATGAATGGGCTAATAGAAATGGTGCAACATTACAATTAACATACCTTATATTTATGTTACTGTAATTAAATACTACATTTCACAATAGTGACTGCAACCCTCAGTGTATATTTTTGTTTATTCTCTGACATTGATGAAACATATTTTGATAGTGCAAAAATGTGGCTGGTTTATCCCACTTGGGGATCAAATGGACAATTCCTGCATTAGAAATGCGGCAAGCTTTAGAATAAGCCACCAACCAGATGCAAAGATAGACTCAAGTACAGAGCAGTAGAGGCTCGAGAATTGTGCACAGTGTGGGATGAGTGCATTACCACTACACAACCACAGCAGGATAAAAGGGAGAAGGCTGCATAGCATCTTCAAATAAAAGAGTTTGTCTAAACTAAGGGAGAAAGCATTCAACAGAAAAGGACACTCATTTTTTTTTAATACTTACACAAGGAAAGCAAAAAAACTCAAGACCCTAGAGAATATGGTTTACCAGCTCAGCAGAGAGACATGCACATGGTAGCATGAACTCAAGACTGAGCAGTGATCTGTGGGAGAGCTCTCCTTAAGTAGAGCGTGCACATCTGTACCTGATTAGCCTCAATCAGCTTGTTGCGGATCTCTGACTCCTTCTAGTAGTTGGAGGTGGCCAGGACATTACAGATACCTTATATTATTTTCATCTTCATCTTGTTGCTGACATCGCAGCACCATTTTGAAGCAGGTGACAAGCTCACATCAAGCGTTAACTGGGCTTAGGTATAGCCTTTGTACTGTGAGGTTAGTCACTTTTAGTAAACAATTTAAGTAAATTTTGTCTTCTTGTACCAATATATATTTACACAGATGTTAAAATGTTTGAAAACAGGGATTTTCTTTATTAATATCATGCTTTCGCATTCCCAGCTTGATAGCATCATGTGATGGGGAGACCTAGCAAGCTAGTAAGTTGAAATTAGCCATAACAATAAAAAAAAATATGTAAAAATTGGGGTGAATATATATTTATATATTGTCCTTCTCCTATAAAGATACGATTTTGAAGATTTTCTCACAACAGCAACTTTATTAATTCGCTGAATTACCAGAGTAACTTTACCATTCAAACACACTGACATGACATGACACTAACTACATTTTGTAAGGACATCAACAGTATATTCATCCAGACCACATGACAGGGGAGGACGGAGCTGCATCTATGAGCAAGTCCATTTCTAAAGGTTAAAGGAAGCTTCTACAACTCCTTCCTCTATCATTGTGGAAGACACAAGGCAAATGTTACATGTCATCATTCTTTTAAACTCGGCCATTTCAAAGGGCAGCACTGTCAAATTATTTACCTCAGGGCAATCCGTATTTCATGTATATCGACAATCATCGCCATTACGAGGGCATTAAAAAGCCCAATTATTGCGGGTGGAATCCTCCATTAAGACTGGCCGGTCCACTGACTGTGAATAGGAATGACAGAGGCATGAATATTTGATACTCCGACTGCCGAGATTCATTTTCCTGGATGTGTGACTGGAGGAGCATGAGGAATGAGGAGGATTCATATTTTTTGATTCAGTCTTTTTCTTCGCTCCTTGTAGAGGAGCATAATGGAGTTGATGCATAATGCAGCGAGCCTAGAGCCACTACTAAAGCACTCCTGCACTTACTGTGTGTGTGTGTGTGTGTGTGTGTGAGAGAAAGAGAGAGAGAGAGAGAGAGAGAGAGAGAGAGAGAGAGAGAGAGAGAGAGAGAGAGAGAAATCCATCACTTAGAATGGACAGCAGCATCTGCTATTCACGTGTATGTGTTTGTGTCACTTACATCCAGAACAAATTGGGTAAGGGTGCCTGATTTGGTTACATAAGCACTTTGGCAGTGGTTTCCTTGTCTTATACTGAAAACACAGACAATTCCTGTAAGTCTTCAGTAAATCTGAGTGCAGTCTCTTTTTCTTTGTGGAGCCAAATGGTTCTCAGGGCCATACTGTTCTGTTCCGCACTGGTGCCAACTCGTGAGACCGATTATGGTTCTTTTTCCATCTGCTGTGCTGCTAAATCAGAACCAGGAAATACTGGAGAAAACTACACAAAAGAGCGGCTATGCTGCTAACAGCCTGCACACACACTACAAAACACATTTGATTGCAGCCGTCACTCTGACATCAGTCTCTCGACGTGTTCTCAGATTCTTTATCCTCTAAACCAGTAAGTTTTGAGTATCAGATACTGACACCAAGGCTGTACTGCGGTGGGCTGCACCTGTAGCTGGCTACCTGCCTACCTACCCAGCTAAGCCCAGAAGGGTACAGCTAAATGTATCACAGAACAATTCTGTTTTTATCTTTTTGTGTTCACTTCACTACCAGACATTCTAAATTGTGCTCTCAGACATGAGTTTTTATCCTCTAAATGGGTGTTTTTTAAGTATCAACTTACAGGAACCGAGCCTAAACTGTGGTGGGTGGCACCGTATGCTCACATTAGCTTAACCCAGCTGTCCACATCTTTAATAACAACAGAACAGGACTGATTTCTGCTTTCTTTGACTCCAACACCGGTCGGTTGACTTTTCTCACTATTATAAGCTTTGTAGTCTTGTGATAGCAGAGCACCAGTTAGTCGCATCGAACTCATACTGGTTTTGAATCTCACTAGCTAAGCTAGCTAGGAGAAAGGAAGCTAACATTAGCTCAGCTAGGAGGCTACAGCTCCAAACACCACAGTTCAGGTTTAATTTCGGCTTTCTGCCCTAACAGAAAACACCTGCCGCTCGACTTCACTTCCTCAGATTTGAGTCGTTATCATCACAGTTGTGTAAGTAGAGCATTCTTTGGTCAGCAGAACTGACAGCGTGCTAGCTGAGATAATGCTAACCAACTCTTCTCTCCTGGTTAGCAGTGCTGTTTAATATCTTGACATGTTAAATAGCACTGCTAGAAGCTTTAAAGCCGTGCACTGCTTTCATTTATTTGGCATCCGTTAGTATACAGATATAAACGTAGAACCAATCAGCAAATAGCTATGATGTTACATAATCCCACTGAATGCTTCTGTGGGCACATTCTGAACCTAGTTTTGAATCTCTTTGTGTCAAACTGTACTGACATTGGATGATTAGTTCTGGATCACAAATATCAATCCAATCCTCGAGAATGCAGTTACACCACCCTCCAGCCAATGCTGGGGGCTTTATACCCCTCTACCTGACATTGATTCTGAATTTAGGCTCCTGTGCCGCAACTACAGGGCATCTTCTTTTATGGACAGTTATTTTCTGTAGAGAATTTGCAAGCTGTTTTAGCAATAGGTGCACCTTAAAGTACCCAAATTCACTAATTAGAAGGGGTGTACAATGTTCTCTTACCGGTAAAAGGTTTGCTTCATAATATGTAAAGTTATATTGTAACTATAGCTTGGGAAGTTGGAAAGGACAACACATGAAGCTCCTCTTTCCTACTTAACGTCTTACAAATTTCCATCTCTATTTTCTATTTTTTGTTTTTGCAGCCCATCACCTCTCCATATTCTCTCTGTTCCATAGTCCTATGTTAGTCTTATAAGGTGGGATGGGTTGGGGGGTGTGGTCCGGCCTGCTAGGTTAAAGCAGAGGCCTGCCAGAACTCCAGACTAAAGGTCTGCACTGGCTTGAAACTGAAGCCCAAACCTGACTCATTTGTTAATTTTATTACAATGGACTTATGCATATTTGATGATACATGCAAACTGTTTTGAACCGCTGGTTTTCAATCAGACCAACTCTGTTGTCATCAGTTAGCATTGGGGTCAGCCTCATCCCTTCAGGCTCTCAGCTATTTTGTGGTTTCTGGCAAAAGGCTCAGCTCTCATCCATCCTCATGAAAATTGTAAGACATGAGCTACTCAGTGTTGCTCATATATGGAATGCTAGATCATTTATTG